TTTTTTTCATCTATAATAGTGAACAAAAACTACTTTTATAAATAATTGAAACGGTTCGCGCCACTTATCTTTTGTATTTCGACCAAAAAGAAGTTTTTAGTGGCTCTGACCAGTAGTAAGCCCAGGACCAAAGACGTCATATTTTGCGCGCTTTCGGTACCGCGGGTCGCCCTCGTCGGTGGAGGAGATTTCCGTGTCGTCCGGTTAAAATATGGCGCACTGATATTTAGCTACTCTTCAAGTGCCCGCTGGCTTGCCCGAACCCCAAGAGATGTGGAAACAGCATAAAAGGTAGACGCTTAAATATGATTGCAGGGCCCCTTTAATGTCCTATGGCAAGAAAATTGGAAAGTGAAAGGAAGAAACAAATACAAGGAAAATATCATAATGCAAGCAAATCAGAATACAAAAGGGGAACAAAATGCAAATGAAGCCTTTTCACAACTAAAAAAATCCAGCGGCATTTGTTCTAGTATGGTGGGGTCTGGGGTGACATCATTAAAAAGCCGTTAATTAGACTGTACTTTAAATTTACAGTAATCCTTTCTTCTGCATTGTTTTCAGTGATCATACAGATTGATCTATCAATCTGCCACGCTTAAAAATACATCTCTAGTGATAAAGAATTACTTTTTTCTGGCTACAGTGATTGAAATCAGATAAATCTGATCTAACTAAAATAGATCCGATTTACTTGATTTTCATGCTTTTTTTTCTACCCCATTTCTAGTGGTCCCCAGCAAGGCTACTAGATATCAAAGTCCGTTTGTCAAGCTTCCTAGAATGCCCTGGCGCCTTTTCGTGTCACGTCTGCTCGATGGTGTTCCCTACGCTATCGTGGCCCACCCGGTGGAACGTTGGATCAACATTTCCTGTGGTGTAAAGTGATTCTATTGGGGTTTTTATGGTAAACATAAAGTTAGTGCCAAAGTTTGCAAAAAAAAAAAAAATAAGAGCCATTCGAAAGCGGTTTTTCACCGTTGCCTGTGAAGGCATTGCTGCTGGTCGCTCTAGGAACACTATCCACTTGTAGTGCCTGCCCGCGTGCAGGCAACAGAGAAGAACAATTTTTGAACAACGCTCTTTTGTGGAACTGATAGATCTAAGAATGTTGGCCCTGGGGGCTGCCAACTTAGCCCCAGGGGTAAAAAGCCAAACGCTCATTCCTTTTTTTTTTTTTTCAAATTCAAATTTTAGTAGGAGAAAAAAAAAAAACAACCTCTGTATAGTTTGTATAATTAACTTCCAAGTATATTTCTCAAATTCGCTTGGAAGACTTTGATGATCAGTTCAAAGGCTAATTTGTCTTTTGCGTCTGGTCAAAAGAAATTGGTAAATTCACCAAGAATATTTTGGGTAAGGAGAAAGATTGCTTTGAAAAGTACTTTTCATTTGGTTTAAAGTACATGGTAAATAATATGTAGCTTACCACTTTTATTTGATGCACTCTACCAGATAACTGCAAATTGAAAAAAATAAATAAATAAAGTACTTCACTTTGAAAGTACACCATGCCTCATGTGTAGCTCACTTTGCAGTAATGTTTGGAGGTGGGCTAGTCGGTGATGCATTGTAAACATAGAAATAAAACAGCGCAAACAAACACAAGGACAAGTAGAAGGAGGGACACAGACACAGCGCTGACTCACGACTTACTTTCTTTCTCATCTTTTTAAAACATTTCAACATAAGAAAAAAAGAAATGAAAAATAAAAGAAGGAGAATCCAGCATGAAGGATATCCTCTCTGTCATATGCCATCTGAGGAATTTTTTACACAAACTAAACATTATATACCATCACAACAAAAAAAACAAATTAAAAAAAAAGCCAAAAACCACAGCGCGAGCCCTAATGCTCTGTGCGTACCTGTCTTGCACGCGGACTCTTGGTATGTCGGAACCCTTTCCTGGCTGCATGTAGGCACGCGCCTGTGGTTATAGGATCACTCCCATGGAAGCAGAAAGAAAGTGTTAAAGAGACGTGCCTAAACTCCGAAGAAACTCGAACTCTTCACTGTATAACGTCACTGACTCTGAACTGACGCATAGATCGGGACCGTGTTGTCGAATGTAAAACGCTTCATGAATTTCCCTTGCCATTTTTTGTGAATGTTTAGCCAAAATTTCAATGTCACTTAACCGAGGGGAACAACCACACCTATCACAATGAATGGCTAGGTGACCCGAAGGTGAAGACCTCAAAGACAGATAATGCTCCCGAGCTCGAACATTAATACATCTGCCCGTCTGCCCAATATACACTTTCCCACATGAAAAAGGTATTTTATAAACGACCCCCACAGCACAAGCTACATATTTGATGCGATGGTTTATTCTACACCCTACACGCTGAAGTCCTGCTCTCTCAATGGACGCACACAAACGGGATAGCTTGGAAGGTGCTGAAAAGACTATGGGAACTCCGTATTTAACCGCCACTTTTTTGATCCTGTGGGAAAAACTGTGCAAATATGGTATTACCACCGGTCGAGAGGCAGGCTTTTGTCTAACATTGTCAAGTATGTTAAGGGGATTCCTGAATAATTTTAAAAGTGACTCCGCTACCCCCACTATGACAAGTTTCGGGAAACCCGCTTTTGTTAACCTATCTACTTGACACAGAAAGCTGTTGAAACTTCTGTGAACACAGGATTTCAATAAAGAAGCTCTCAAACATGATTTTGCAATAGCTCTTTTTACAACTTTTGAGTGTGTTGATTCATAGCTAAGGAGGGACTTTTTTGTTCTAGGCTCATAAGCCCAGCATAGGTGACTCGTTTCAAGACGAATGTTGAGGTCCAAAAATTGCAAAGCTTTTTTAGTTGGAACCTCATTCGTAAACCGCAGACCTCCAGAGCACTCCCGAAAGGTGTCTAATAACTCTGAGACCAAGTCAGCACTTCGTGAGCCCTGCTTAGGTTTAAACACCACCAGGTAATCGTCAACATACCTGAAGACTTTCAAAAAACGATCATCTAACCTTTCTGCAATAGCACAATCACAACCTGCTAGGTAGATGTCACTCAATATAGGAGCAACACTAGACCCAATGCAGATCCCGGATTTTTGCAGAAACGTGTTGCCCTCAAAAGAAATAAAAGTGGACTCTAAGTAAAAGCGGAGAAGATCCAAAAACTTTTCCACAGCAATACCAGTCGAATTCTGGAAGGCAACAGAACCGTTTAAGTCAATGCAAAGTTGAACCGCTTCAATGAGACCTCCATGAGGAATAGAGTAGAAAAGGTCTTCCACGTCAATTGAAACCAGATCACAAGATCCAGGGTTGTCATTGCTTAGATAATCTACCAATTCGTCAGAGTTTCGAACTAGAAAAGGATCAGTTAACTTCAAAGAAGATAGGTGATGCTGGAGATACTTCGAGACATGCAGCTGCCATGACTCTCTCTGTGTAACAATTGCCCTGAACGGCATAGTGTCCTTATGGGTCTTCACAGAGAAGAAAACCTCCAGATTGAGACCACGAGCCGCCTGGACAGACTTCCTGAGCCTTTCTAAACCAAGCTGCTTACAAAGTTGCTCAGCACGCGTCTTCACCTTGCTTAGTACCACATCTGGAACAGGTTTGAAATTTTTTGACACGGCTTGTGTAGACTTTTCCTTAAATATATGTTCTGGCACAACTACAAATCCTCCCTCCTTATCTGAAACCAGCAGCTTTAACTTACAGTGTTTGAAAAAAGAAACAATAGGGCCGAAATGAAATCGATGTACAGATTTCCTGGTGTCCCTACGTAAGCTTTCTACACAGTCTAGGATACACATGTCTTTTTTCTCAGCAACAGTCTTCTCAGCTATCCGTCTCACAAGGGAGAGCATCTCGGGGGGCTTCACGAGCGGCTCAGTAGCATACTTTGGGCCCTTATTCAATATGCTTGTGATAGAAGCAGGTGCAGTTGCATCACCTAAAAACACAACGCTATTCCCTGCAGGAGGCGGGTCTTTGTGTTTCTTGGGGAACGTGGAACGTAGATGCAGCCATAAGAACTCAGTAATACGTGAAGACTCCAATTGACACGCACGGAGTTTTCTCCTGGCGCTGTGTTCGTTAGTACACGTGTAATAACACCACACTTTTAAGCAGTCATGCAGAAGTCTGACTTGCCTCCAATGTTCCGAGCGGAGAATCTTGCATACGCGCTTGGCATGTCCAGATGACGGAGACGTCAATCCAAAAAGGCTTAATACCTCAGGGGGGTAATTGCCTTTCTTTGCAGCGTACCCATACTGCCTTGCTTTGCACGTAGAAACAGCGATGGCATTGACATAGAAGATGTCTTGATGTGGAAGATTGAAGGAACACATAAAAGGGCCCGATGTAAAAGAAAGGAACTGCAGTAATGTTTGGAGGTGGGCTAGTCGGTGATGCATTGTAAACAATGCATCACCGTGGTACTATAACCACAGGCGCGTGCCTACATGCAGCCAGGAAAGGGTTCCGACATACCAAGAGTCCGCGTGCAAGACAGGTACGCACAGAGCATTAGGGCTCGCGCTGTGGTTTTTGGCTTTTTTTTAATTTGTTTTTTTTGTTGTAATGGTATATAATGTTTAGTTTGTGTAAAAAATTCCTCAGATGGCATATGACAGAGAGGATATCCTTCATGCTGGATTCTCCTTCTTTTATTTTTCATTTCTTTTTTTCTTATGTTGAAATGTTTTAAAAAGATGAGAAAGAAAGTAAGTCGTGAGTCAGCGCTGTGTCTGTGTCCCTCCTTCTACTTGTCCTTGTGTTTGTTTGCGCTGTTTTATTTCTATGTTTACAAAGTAGCTCACTTTACTTGATGCACGAAATCTACCAGTCAACTGCCTTGTGCTTTACTCTAAACAATTTCTGCATTCTTTTTACTCAAATTCTGGTCGCATAACGTCTCTTTGTTTTCTGTCGACACAAAACGAAGCGGTGTAGCCTGTGGCCTCTGCCAGAAAATAGCTGACAAGTCTTCAATTTTATTGTAATATGGCTCGTCTGTTGTCTCAGGTGAGCCATATCAGCCTGGGCCGGTACGTGACTGCTTCAGCCCTGGGCCTGGTGCCGACACAGGTCATCAACGTGTATCTGGGGACCACTGTGCGCTCCATGGAGGAAGTGCTGGACACCACTGCAGCCACTGGCTATGCTGTGCTGCTGGCTCAGGTGAGCCAACCTTGACGACACATTTCATTACTATTATAGCTTGTGGTGGCCGCCGCCACACTGACCGCGCCGGCAGAGGGCAAGGCGCCCGACGGCAGCGCCACGCGCCGGCAGGGCGCAGCTGGGGGGGAGGCACAGGGGATTCGGGATCGAGACGGGCATTAAAGAAGACGTGAGAAATCCTTCCTTGTTGTTACGTGTTCTTCCGGGGTGGACCGCACGGACGAGAACCCGGGGCTTCCAGGCTGTGGGCAGGGAAACCTACAAGCTTCGGGTGGGGAGCATTTGCATGCAGGTGAACAAACTACTCGTCGACAAGAGAGTCCTTGGTACAAAAAGTGCATCGATGAATACACTCTTTCACGTGGGGGGCCCATAGAGTGGAAGAGATGCAATGATGATGTGTTTAGTTTTCCCTTCAGCCGATTTTTCTATGGATAGGACTTGTACGGGCATGCCTCTGTACGATGACTGCGTGATGCACATTAAAGGGCCCAGGTTGGCAGCCATACTGCAGACAAAATTGCCACATAACAAGGTTGCCGTACATCAGATTGACCTCCTGCTGCATGAATATGTAGACAGATTTGAACTTGGACTGAAGTAAGAGCTGGCAAGTACGGCGAGCTGGTAGTATCAGTCCATTACTGATTACCTGAAACTGAAAAGTTGGGACTCCCAACTACATCAGTGATCTCAAGGCAATGCATCTCTGGCTCTCAGGGCTTTGTAATCTAGGATAACTGCATTCACTCGGTATGTGTGCTAGAGGCCAGATTTTTTAGCTTCATGTCTACCCAGGTAGTGCTAAAGGTGTAAACCGTCCAACACGACCGAGAGAGTACTGGATGCGTCGAGAGCTCCTGCAGGCAGCATTTCCTCAGAACACGTGAAAACTGCAGGTCTATTAACTTCTTGTTTGTTTGCTCTTTTCTTTGCACCACCTCAGGTTGTCCTGAGCATTGGCCTGATGGGGTTGATTGTGAGGAAAGCAAGGAAAGAGCTTCAGGACGCTGTCCTGTCTTCGGGCTATCCCAAGGTGGCTCTTGACACGGCCTTCAGGCCAGAGTTCCCGTGGATACCAGTGAGCCCACTGCCAACATGGACCCGCAAGAGGCCTACATGACTAGCTCTGTTTTCTTGACGAGTATTTAGCTTGACTCAGCTTGTCGAACGGTCAGATCCTTTTTGTTGACAACCACAGCAATGTGTTTCCCTTTAACATCTCTACCTGTTCCTTATATCGTCGTTTCCAGGGTTCCAGTCTGCAGAACAGGGCAACACACATTTTCTACTTAGTTATCCCTTTAAATGTCTCAATTTCTTCTTGTTTACAGCTCTAGCTTCCTAGAAGCAGGATGGGGATGTTGTTGCATCCTGGAGGGTTGTTTTCTTTAGGGTTATTTATGACAGGATCAAAGGCATTGTTTCTGCCCTTTTAGTTCCATGCCTGTAAAGGTAAGGACTTTGTCCATGAGTGCAAATTATATGGTCTTACTATTTAACACAGTGCACAGACCACTACTTAACAAACTACTTGATGCTTCTTACTTATGGCATACAATGTTAGAGTTGCACAATTTTTGTCTAACTCTCCAGCATATCTTTGGAACTCACCAGAACTCGGTGAAGGGTAGTGTAGCTACTGCATTAGCTGTTCTTAAGTTATACACTTGTTTAAAGTCACAATTGTTTGATGACTGCACTCCTTATGTTTAATTTCTCATTTTTACAAGTTTTTTTTTTTTTTTTAAGGTTGCGTGTAGATTGTTTTCTCACTCCATTTATTATTTAGCACTTTTTGAAGGGACTATTCCTTGTTCAAGTAGGTTTCCTGTTGTCTTGGAATGCTCTGCAAATACAGCAGTTTAGCTAAGCAAGTTCTCAAAATTGGCTTTGTGCATTAATTAAGACGTTGAAAGCCACAGGTCTTGATTATTCAAAATTAGCTATCGAAAATAATTATTTGTGCCTTGTACTCAACAAAAGTTCGTAAATTTACGGACTGCTATTCTCCTTATGTCTTTGCTGTTTCATAGCGTTACCATTTTTTGTGTGTGTGAGAGCTTTCTACTTATCAAGATGAGCTGACATGGGTCAACACTTTTTGTTTCTGCAACTTGTTTTAAGATTTTTCTGTGAAACTTATAGTTCCTACATAGAAATAAAATTTGTATGTTTCCTAGAGAGTCGTGTCTCTTTTCTCTTGTCCTTGAAGCTGTGTTAGTGCACTAGTGTAGTGGAAGGTTCATGTTTGAACATGAGTGAAAAGGTCTGTAATGTCAAGGCGAAAGCAAAAATAAGAAAAGGCTGAAGAAAATTGAAGATGGCACAAAAGTAGAAATATGAGATAAAGCAAGATTGCAAGATTCAGCCACCAAATTTGTGCAGGAACCATACCTTAGTGACAAACTGCAAAGTTGGAAATGGTTCAGAGTAAAAGGATTTGCCTTGGAATTTGCGTTCTTGAGTAAGTGAGACCACTTATGTACTGTACATTGCCTCCAGATAAAGGAATGTGCACGCTGCGCCGTTAGTTAAGTCTCAAGACCCTGGTAACGGCCGTTCTCCTCCGCAAACTAAACTTAATGCGTGCGAGCAGGGCTCCAGCGGTTGAACTTCGTACAAGAGTTCTTATTTGCGGTATATAGCCGAGCGTAGCCACCGGATACTAGCAATACATATCAAAAACACATGTTTTTAGTCATTGTGCCATTAAACCAAAAATGAAAAAAAAAAAAAAGTTATTTATGGTTTTCTTTAAGCGTGCACCAAAGGTGGCCTGCTTTTTACACACTCACTACACTGCAGTAATGTCATTGGACTACTAAATTTATCACTGCTTTTTCACAATTGTGGTGTTGTCATGAAGGATGCCCTAAAGGCTGCCCTGCAAATCCTTGTGTCCTGCTGGAAATTGTAATGACATACATAAATTGTTTTGCAATTTGCATTTTTTTTTTTACGTTTAGAGAGTTAATTTGCAGTCATATTATGAGGCTGATATTTAGGCATCGATTGTCTACACACGCGGCAGAAGTGTTCTTAGGTGCTTATGCTGGGAGCTCGCACACAGCTTCTAGTACGTTGAGGACAGTGTATCTAGAAAGTGCTCAATGTCTTGTTCGTTGAAACTGCTTTGTTGCTCTTATTTGAACTTCTTTTTTTTTGTTATTCTGCCTTCAAGACCATCACTATTTTATGCACTATTCTGTGCAAAAATCCCAGCTGTTCACATATTTTCTAAAAATAAAAAAATGGCCTTAAGGAGACTGGCAGGCTCAATTTCTAAGTTATCAAAAGATTACTGACATTCGCATGATTAAATCTATTTGGTTTATGGTCATATCCAGTTAAATTAAACAAAATTCAATGGGCCTCCAGCACTAAAGTTTTGTAAGATGGGTGGTGCCATGGTGTGATAGTTTTTGCAACCATTAGGGCAGTTCTTGCAAAGGAAGGTTGAAGAGGCTTGGAATACGAGCGATATGAACTACATTCGAGTGTTTTAGTAGTGTCATGTTAAGTAGGGGGAAGGTTGTGCTGAACTATGAAAAACCTAGCTAGCTGAGGATTACTTCAGCGAACCTGCTGTATACGACTGTAAATTCAACGCCAGCAACTTATGGACAAGTGGGTAGATTCGCCATCTTACGTTTTGTTTTGGCCGAGAAAGTTCTGGGTTTGAATCCTCCTCTGGGTCATATGTATTTTCATTTTGCTGTTCTCTTCTGCATTTTGGACAATCTTCTATGTTCCTTTACGTAACATGAATGCTACTGTGTCGTCTACACTGATTTGGCAAAGGAATAATGCAGCAATGCTGGCAAACAACGCTGCTGTGATGCCAAACATAGCCCCAGGTGGACGAGAAAGAACCGAAATAATCCTTCGAAATTTTGTTTAGAGGACGCAGTGGTGTTCATGTTACGTCATAAAATAGTGAAAAATGCAAAATCAAGTTACAGAAAGATATAATCCGAAAGATTCCAGAAAAGGAGTCGTGGCAGCTGCCATTCTACAGGCCGGTGCGCTTTGTGTGCGCTTCCTTCGCTTGTCAAAGTGGCAAGCGCATGCCGCCTGACTTGTGTTATCGTACGCTGGACTGTTTTTTTTTTTGTAAACAGTGGAATGGTCTATACTGGGGGACAACTTTCTGTGGCATTGAACTCTGTTAAAGTTACGGGAGTGTATGCATTCGCACACCTTGAGCGCTGAATTCAAGCCGTGCACGTGCATTCGCGCTCTCTCCGGAAATGAAGGTAACTCACATTTATCTAGACACCCACAGGTGCAAACTGATATTGAATTATTTAATTCTATATAAATCGAGATTAAAGAAGCAGCCTTCAATTGGCAAGATTTTTAATTCGTTTACTTTTAGTGCGAGCATCCCCAGCAGCAATTACACAACACTCCCAAAGTTTACTGTCAAGGTTCTTTTGACTCCTATTTCAAGCCTTCTCAACTTTTCTCTTTGCAAGTGAAACCACACTTGCTATCAAAACGAAGATGGAGTTGCGATAGCCGCCGCACCGCAAATTGATCAGAGTTCCAAAACTGGGCACCTAAAACTCGCCATAATTTCAATGATTTTCAGACACACTTGTCAGATGTCTGGAACTTTTGAGTCATGTTTGGCATCACAAGTTCTAAAAAGAAATACCTTGCATATCCTTTGGAGGCCTACAAGCTACCTGAACTGCCCCAACAGTTGAAAACAATGGTGAGAGATGGTGCTAGCATGCAAAGAGTGGCGGCACTCCCTGGTTATTGCAGAAGGCTCGCGACGCCTTCGTGCAGATCATTTAACGCGGGTCAAAGTGTGATACTTCACCGAGTATTTGTTGTATTAACAGCAGAATGTGGAAATGTGGAGCGACTGCGCACCCAAAAAATCTGGGTGCCATTAAATTTTTCTAGATCAGACCCCTTTAGAGATTTAATTGATGAGATGATAGACGATCACTCGCGTGCACAGTAGGTTCAGCTTCTTGCAACTTGGAAGAAACATGTCATGTGTCGTCGGATGGCTTCTGGAACTTGGTAGCCTTTGGAATCTTCCGCTTCCGCTCTTCCGAAGGATCCGGGCTGGGACGATGCTTTTTCTTGGTGAACTTCTTGGCCATGGTTTTAACCAGTGTGGAGTACCTAGCGCATAGAATCAAATTTAATCTACCGATCACCTGTTAGCAAAACCTGACATCACAAGGAGCATAAAGAGGTTGAATTAAGTTTGACACCATGACTACACAGCCCTGATCAACGAAATTTCTCTTTGCTGTTAAGCGAGGGCTACGAGTGTCGTATGTCATGTCGCAATGCACAAAAAAGTCCAATAAGCTTCCAGTCAGGGTTGTAAAGTACCTAGGTACAAGTAACTGTAAATCGGTATCTAGGTACTTTTGTTGTACCTGAGGTACAAACCTAGGTACTTTCATTTCTCAGTATCTGTATCTGTATCTTAGGTACATTTTCCAGTAACTTGTAACTAAGTGAAGTTACTTTTTACAGGTACTTTTCTATTCACTTCGTCAAAATCATAGAAATACAATATAGCATGTAACTGAGAATAAATTATAATTACAGTCGTAAAGCAAGTTAACATCACGTAGTTTTTCCATGCAATAAATCAAACTCAAATTTTGCACTTTACAAAACTGAAAATGTTTGTGAAGAAAAAAAAACTGGGAGGACGATTAATCTTCGCCTTTAAGAGTTGAACGCGATAGAGTTATCGGGCCCCGTTCGCATGGCCTTCTCAATCGCTTCTCATGCTCTTGAGTCGCACAACGACCTAGTTCTTATGATACAACACTCCCGGTGCGATTGAGGAGCTTTTGCCAGTGCTTTGGTGCCAATTTACCCCGCAAGGTTTATTTATGTGTTTGCTCGGCACGCGCAGACAACACTCGATGCCATAATGCCTTTACCCTGACACAGACAGACATCGAGGCACTCCAATGACGGCAGGATCGCAGTGCCATTCCCAAGCCCTCCGTTGCCTAGTCGGTAGCATGTCTGGCTCGCAACCGAAGGGTCGTGGGTGCGATCCTGCGTAAATTCTTAAAATTTTTCTTTAAGGCAAATGAATTAGTTTATGAAGTGGGATCATTTGGAACATGCGGCGACCATTAATTAGTGTGTCTTTAACCACCTTCATTTCACGCGTGACGTCACGTTTCACATGAGCGTTGTGGGTTGTTTGAAATTCCCACGCGAAGTCAAGTGGCTGTGACGTCACAACCCTGTTGACCATTCAGGAATTTCCCGTCACGCCACCGACGCCACCGACATCCGACGGATTTTCTGTGACACGAGCTCCTAAACGCGCTCGCGTTAAAATATTATCTTCCTTCCTTAAAACATTGACATCAATAAAGCACGTTTATCAAACTTGTTTTTGTGTACATCCCAGCATACAAAGGATTTACTTCCAATAATAATGTGACAAATTTGAGAAAAATACTTGACGTGAAAATAAAAAGTATCTTTGAAGTAACTGTACCTGTACCTAGGTACATTTTTAAGCGAGTAGCTAGATACGCACCTAGGTACATTTTCGTATGAGTAACTGTAACTGTATCTTAGGTACATTTTTGAAGTAACTTTTACAACCCTGCTTCCAGTGCAATAAACTTGATACTGCCTCAATCCCCAGACCAGGAACAAAAGGCAAGCTTGGCATACAAAGAGAAACATATACAAGTGCAATGATTCGGCCACAATCAGTCACTGCTGAACATACAAATCGTAAAGAATAAGATTTGAAAAAGAAAAAAAGAGGTTGTTTTGAGGTTGTGAGATGCTGATGCACTTGCCTTTCTTTCTTCATCAAAATAGTTGTTCCTTAGTATTGATAGCTAACATTTTCATGAAAACAAAAAGTATACAAAAGCTTTGAATAGTGGAATACAGATACTGCTGAGGAGGATGCAAAACCGTTGAACATTATATTAGACAATCCATGCCAAGATAATGAAATGGCACTACTGCCAGTCGGCTCTGGAAAGAAGCCAATTTATCCTGAGCTACATTGGCTTCTTGATTTCCAACCACATTTGGGAAGTGGCGAAGCTTGGAGAGCTTTAATCCCATTTCTAAAAGGCTGTGTCTACAGTGCCATCCGACGGCACTCCAATGGCGCCTACAAGTGCCGTCCGAAAGAGTCGGACGGCGCGTGTATCACTGGGGAGCTCGACAGCATGCGGGTGCTAATTACAAAACTATTGACCCATTTGGTTCCGTCGTACACGCCGCTTCGCGGCGTCCAGCCGGCAAACCAAGCCCTGCTGAACCCTATGCACCTCCGGAAACAAAGTCCTATACCATTTCTTTCAACGAAATTTCGGTGACAACATGCGTTTTTTTCTTATGTTAATCGTAAAAAAAATAAATGTAAATATCGGCAAATGCATCGACAAAATAAAAACAAAAAAGTAAGCCTGCACTGGGGATCGAACCTGGGATCGCTTGCTTAAGAGACAGACAACTTACCACTAAGCTACACTCGGCTTCGAAAAACTCGTTTTGAGAACTCATTTTATACGGGACTTTCGGACGGCATTTGAACACTCTGCAAGAGTGCGGTTTGACGGTACTCTAGACACTATGTTTCTAAAATTGACCACACAAAAAACAAAGTTGGGAAAGTAGGTGCATGCAACAACTGCATACCTTTCAGCCATCTCTTCATCAGAGATGCCAGGCATCTTTGAGTACTGCGGGTCCTTGAGTTCATTGTCGCGCATGAGTCGCTGCAAAACAATGAGCCAGGCTAAACAATAGCCTCGCCCCTTCCACAACAGGCATGCTCACCTCAATATCGGGGTTGCGACCTTTGAAGGACATCCTTCCAGGGAGCAGACCCATGAGAGGCACAAAGCTTTCTTCGCAAATGTACATGCTCCTAGGAACAGAAATTAATTTCGCCGATTTATGCCACTAGTTGCTGGAAAAAGAAACATTGTCACTGTACGTGGCTAATTATCAGCACACTTCCAAACTGCTACCAACAAGGGATTTTTTTTTTCTTCTTGCTTCTTTCTTTTATCCCCGATACCGACTTGGCTAATGTAGCAAACTTTATCATTTAGAAGGTTAAAAGCGCAAACTGAAACACGGACGAAACAAGGAACACGTACGACAAGGACAGGCGCTGTCAATGCCGCACGTGTTTCAGTTCGCGCTTTTAACCTTTTAAATATGAAGGCCAGCTAGACCCCACCAGTTTTATGACATTTACAGAAGCGATCACGCGTGAGGCCTCCACTACACCTTGTGCATAACGACTCGAGAAACGAGCAAACCATACCGGCCAAGAAAAACGCACTAATCTACAATGACGCTTCTTTCGTGCAGGGAGTTGTCGTCCCGTGACTACACCAGTTGAGTTGAACATAAACAGGATTCCAACCATTCTCCGTGAGTGACTTCTTTAGTATACATCTTTTACATTTGTTTTGGTATACATATTTTACATTCAAAGCGATTTCAGGCACAAGATCGACACTGAAGAACAAGGCCGCGTATAATAAAAGTAACAGACGCAACAGTGATCGCAAGATCAAGCCGGGAGCTGAAGGGGTGCCTCAATTCTTTACCCTTCTTTTTTGATGGTGTTCATAATATCGCTGTTGAACAACGACTGATGCTCCTCGTCCTCTGCATCTTTTTCCGCTTTTTCCTTGCTCTTTTTCATGAACTGCATCAAGGAAATGAGAACGTCTTAGTTTTCTCGCATACTCCACGCAGTCTATGTTGGTCACCAGTTTACCTTCATGTCGAGAAGATGCCTGGACAGCTTTGTCTTAGCGGTGTCCCTTGACATTTTGTGACAGATGTTATTGTTGCGATGAACACTCTTTAGGACAGCAGCTAAATTATTTCAAGAACGAAAAGAACCGCAAGAACCAACGCTGAACGACGAACCGCTTTAACTTGTTTACCATAGTTGCTAATAGCGCTAACACTGCTCGAACGCTGCCGCTGGTTTCGACTAATTTCGACGGCTTTGACGTTTCGACAACCTAATCAATTTTTTTGTGCAATAAAAATGTATATGTATAGTTTAAACTCAAAATTTTTTATTAAGAAAACATGTTATTCTTATTTTATTTGAAATATCAAATGTCATTAGTTATTGAAGCTTTAAAATGTTTTAAACGTTTGTTTGATTTGTATGTGCCATATTCATGGTCTCCTTTTCCATTAGGTCATTTCCTTGTGGTGAAATAGCGCTAGTGTAAATGAAAATGTTATGCCAGGTTACAATTTTTCTTTTGTTTCTGTTTCATTTTTAAAGAATCATTTTTTCGAACGCCAGGGGCCAGCACGCAGTTTCCGTATCCCAGACTCCCAGATCACCCGCCTTCAACTGCGGTAACTGCCGGAGTCATATGATCAATACGGCCCTAAAATGTCTCAGCTTCTTTTCAACATGAGCAATGGTTACCTCGAAGGTCTGGTTCGGGGTTTCAAGGGCGGAATTCTCAAGCAAAGCGACTACCTGAACCTGGTCCAATGCGAGACACTGGAGGGTGAGCGAACCATCGGGGACGGGCTCTCCGATGAGGTTCTCCTCGCTTCGCGCCTGTGCCGCCCATTTGCTTAGCTCCCTTCTTTTTCAACGACCGAAAAGAAATCTGTGGCTGGCTACAACTGCTTTCGATTTCTTTGGCGGCGAAATGTAACGACCCTGTTGATCGTTTGAGGAGTCTACGCGCTAATCGCGCCGTTTACTTCGAGGGAGATGCAGGTTACTGTTGACATATTGGCGATCCATTTTTTTTTTTTTAAATGGTGTGGTGGGCGCTGTTTTATAAAATCTGTAATTAACTGCACCAGGAGGGTTTGTTTTAGCTTTATAGAATGTTTAATTCTTCAAAAACTAATTGATGCCTCGATCAGGTGCGCTACGCACTCTGTACACGGCAATGGTGCTCCCAACTCTCGAGTACTGTTGTTCCGTGTGGTCCCCACCTCAGCAGCACCTGGTCGACCGCATCGAGAGCATACAGCGAAAGGCATCTCGCACTATCTGCTATAGGGTGGGCGGCAGTGCCTTCGGGCCGGACACAATGTACAGCGACCGGCTGAAGACGCTTGGGTGGCGTCCCCTTCGACACCGGCGGCAAGTGTCCCGCGTGAGCCTGGCTTGTCGGGTCCTGGACGGTTCTTTGACCGGCTCGTACCTCACCACAGTTGTGCGAGTTGGGAGGAGGACCGGACAACCCGATGAGCTGCGGGGGAGAACGATGCGCCACACTTCTTCGACGCTCCCAGCAGCCATCAGAGAGTTTTTGAGACTCCCCCCTAATGTGCGGAACCCTTTGCCGACCAACAGAACTGATTCAAAGGAACTGTCGAAGGTGTATGGGGCAACATTGGCATCCTCATGATCAATACTACCTCTCTCTCTTCTCCACCCCCCCCCCCCCTCCCTTCCTTTCTGCAGTGGTCAGATTTATTTATTATTCATACTTTTAAGTTATTGTTTTTTTGTTGTTTTTTTTTTTTTTCGTTTTTTTTTTCCCGCAGGTGGTGGTGGGCTGACAGGCGCTCCGCGTAAGGGTTCTCACCTATCTGTTCAGCCCAGCACACCACCACCTGCGCCCTTGGAAGTGCAAATAAAATTATTATTATTATTATTAAGTGCCCCCTAGAACAGCTACTTCGCGCGGTTAGCGTACCACAGACCACAGTGTGCCACAGACACATTTAAATGGTGTCAAGCTCAAACTCAAGCCACGGATTAACTTCCCCAGAGTTTTATTGTGGAAATAACTTTATGAATGCGGTCCCATTAGACAGGGGGTAGTTCCTCTCCAGGAAACTTATAATCCCTTCCAGAATTGTCTCATTTCCTGCATGTAATAGTTTGCATGTCTATAACATAATTGCAGGTAAGTTTGTACAGATTTTTAAGAGCCACTTTTCGCGTATCTTGCGTTGCAGACCTAAAGCTGCACCTGCAGAGCACGGACTACGGGAGCTTCTTGGCCAACGAAGCCAGCCCTTTGACAGTTTCCGTCATTGACGACAAGCTTCGCGAGAAGCTGGTGGTGGAGTTTCGCCACATGCGAAACCATGCCGTTGAACCCTTGGCAACATTCCTGGATTACATCACGTGAGCACTGCCATTGAGTTGCACTGCAGTTTGATAAATTAAAGAGACACCAGTAGGTATTTTAATTATACGGCCATGCGTAGTGCCTGTTTTCGGCGTGTCGTGCAAATGCTTTTTTGTTAATCTGTCAGTTTACTCTGGCCACAATTACCACGATGGTTTATTGGAATGGTATAGAGTATGTTTATGAAGCTGTTTGCGGCAAACATACATGTGGTCTTATGACCATGCAAAATTTTGATATTGTAGGTAGTAAGGGGAATCTTCATGTGAAAAGTTCTGTGTAGACTATGCAGACTTCAAATGTCTCACGCTCGTGTAGAGTAGTTAATATAGACTGAGGTGTATTAAAAAAGATTTCATAAACGCTCTAGCTTGTGCTTTTCTCCAGAGTATGCAAAATCAAATTAATAAAATGTACAGAAGGTGCCTAGTGCCTAGACAAAATTCATTGATAAAGCTTCCTCACAAAAGTGTGATCTGCAAAAGCGAATTGTCATATGGAAACCCCATTGGTCGAGTGTTTGTGTTAACTGTGCCACATAATGCACGTCCTATGAAGCCTGCATTGAGCATGATGATCATACATTTTGTTGGTTAAACTTGTGTTCTCTTTTCTAAAGCAATTAAAGCGTTTTATGTGGTTTTGACACCCAACTGGAGTATGAAACCTCTGAAGAGGCAATTATTTCTCTACAAAACCTAAGTGATATGATTGCTGCGCCATCTGCACCAAACTGTGCCGAAGTGCTTATCCTGCTGCATCCTGCTACATTTTGCCAAATTGTGAGGAATTTGTGTCAACATTGTGCCAAAACTTAATTTCACTTTATTTATACTGAAAATATAACACCTCAGACTCGCTACACGGCCAGATCATTACGATAGGCTTGTGCAAATTTTTTTGAACTTTAGATTATTGTCTTAAAGGGACACTGAAAGGGTATTTATGCTCGCCAAGGTTCTCATTTTTACATTACATATGAGAGCCCAACTACCAAGAACGCAGTTTGCGGCTCGAAATTCGTTTTCTTTCCACCCAAAAACCGCCGATCGAGAGCTGGCCGTTTTGAGTCGCACTCACTCTGTTCTCCGTGGTCACGTGCTGTTTTTTTATGGTTTAGACACAACCACCAAAGATAATCAAAGTTGTGGGTCATCGAAGGCACATACTCAATACAAAATAAAAATAGACAAAAAATATTGTACCCATCACACCCATTTTCGTGGCTTCTAAGAAACTGCAAATACGTTGATTGAAAAAAAAAAAAAAAAAAAAAGTTGCACAGCTGTGGCTTTTAATAACTTTCTACTAACTCTGTATTTCTTTTTCCTCTCCAGTCCAGTTTCGGTTTTGGTTCGAAACAGTTGTGTATTTTGACTTTATTAAAAATATATGTGACGCTGTAGTTAAAAATTCATTGGGTAGTCTTCTGACTCTATAATGAATCGACTGGCAAAAAATAAAAACAATATTTTGGGGGTGTAAGTGCCCTTTAAATAACATGTTATTTGATTTCATCTTTATGTCAAACATTGACAGTACTTGCAAGTTTCTTAATATTTTTTTGTTGATGATCTGTTTTGGTGGCTGTGTTATGTGCTGCAGTGAAGTCCCAACCGCGTAATTGGTGTCGCGATTTTGCGTATATCTTGTTTTGCCGCAGCACACCCGCATGGTAGGAGGAAAGCACTTCTTTAGAGTGGGAGGTGACAATTTCTGAATTGAATTGTGCCCAGTAATGTATAATAGTTTGGAATATTTCGAAACTATCTCTTTTGAATTCGAGATTTAGCAAGTATACTTGGGTATTACAAAAAAAAATTGTATAATCTGCTCTATATATATATCTTTTTTTATGTTAACACTCTTATTTAGTTAATACTTTTATATAGGTTCTGTCTGTTTGGCGGCACAATCAGTAGGGTAAATTAAAACTAAATTAGCTGGAGTATTGGATGGCAGCTTGAGAATTCACAAGTTCGGCAGAATTGTTTTTAAGAAGGCATATTTATCGCTCGCATGCCGATTTTTGTTACGAGATTCTACATATGAAATGTTTTTGATGTTCGTAATCAAATGACAAAAGCTATGTTATTTATTTGGATTAAGAATTAGTTTTATCAGAACCTTTAGAACTTGAATGAAACATCAATTTTGGCAACGTAAATGGAATATACTATTTGCTTTACTTTTGAGTTTGTGCCTAAAACAACTATTCACTGCAGTTCATACTGTCCTCCATCAACCAGCATCTTGTTGCCTTGTTTGGTACTTCTTCACACAACTAAACAGTTAGTTCTGTGTTTGAGGTAATCAAAGCTGCAGTGTTTATTTTCACTAATTGTAAAGTTAATTAGTAAACGTAAGGTAATTAATTATTGCTAATTAGTATGCTTTTGAAATTTCCGACACCTGCCGTGGCTGGCAGTTTGTCCCCGGAAAGAGTTAATTTTTTTTTCTCAACTACCCTGTTTTTAGTGATTCTTGAAAGTCTTTGCTGAAATGCCCGGTATGACGAAGATGGTACCTGTAGTCATTTAAGTTTGGGGTTTTTCCAATAAAAACTGACGCTGAAAGAATAAAACACATATTTCGGACGGACGACCAATCTTTCATCTCGCAACAACATAAATGATTCCAAGCGCGTTCTTTGCAGTCCTACCCGCCGGTAAAAAAAGATGGAGAAAGGGACATGGAAAGAGGGAAAGTAAAGTAAATATAGGGGTTTAAAAACTAAAAGAAAGGATTATTTACCGTAAAAACTATGTTGTCAAATGGGGGTGGAGATTGAACATGCAACTAAGCCAGTTCTGGCTTCAAGAATTCAATTTGTTTAGAAAGAGGTAGTGAAGGTGCAGAAACATTATTTTGGACTGTGTTCACGGTGAATGATTCAATGATTCCTGTACCGTATCTGCTCTAGTGCTTTCCCGCCATTCTAGTTTGATTGAAAGATGGTGCGCAGCCATGACATGTGTGGGCATGAACGACGATAGGGTGATACGACTCCGCAGAAGCCCATGACACTTCTAAGTAATGCCTGAGAGACATTGTCTCCCGGTTCAACATCCACATTGTGTTTTCCTGCAGAATGCGTGTGAAACAGTTGTGCCAGCGGGTCAACAATGACGAGAAGCCGCAGGGTTGTGCCGTTAAGCATGTTAACAAGTTCATTTTGTCTGAGGAGAAGGTGCATCCCATTACTTCGGATTGTGGGGGACAATATATCGGGCAGACGGGGGAGGTGAGTCAACCACCTGCTTCAAGAGCACCACTTACAAGTGTCGCGGGATCTGCGGAATCAATCACCCTGTCGTTGTTGATGCACGCACGTGTCATGACTGTGCACTATCTTTCGATCTAACTAGAATTGGGGGGGTCACACCAGAGCAGATATGGTACAGGGATCATTGAATCATTCACCATGAACACAGTCCAAAACAATGTTTCACGCCTTCACTACTTCTTTCTAAAACTGAAATTGAATTCTTGATGCCAAAACTGGCTAAGTTGCATGCTCATTCTCCTCCCCCATCTGACAACATAGTTTCTACAGTAAATCATTCTTTCTTTCTTTCTTTGAGTTTTTAAACCACTCTATATACTTTACGCTTCCCGCATTCCTTTCCCTCTTTTTTACCGACGGGTCGGACTGCAAAGTGTGTTTGGAATCATTTATGTTGTTGCGGGATGAAAGTTTGGACGTCCGTCTCAAATGTGCATTTTTATTCTTTCAGTGTCGGTTGTTGTTAAGCCAACACACTTCTTAGTTCCCTTTTCCAATGAAAGCAGCTTTTTATTTTCATTTCTACTTAGTTTTTGTTTTGAAGCACTAAAATTCTTACTTGGATGCAGGTTCACTATTGTATTTATGTCTGGGAAACGAGTTGTCATTTGAATGTTGGCTCCGGCAGAAACTTGTTGCTTAACGTCACCAACGCTTGAGATGCACATGGAGTGTGCTTGTTAATGACCATGTGCGTCTCTGATCTTGCAGCTACAGCTACATGATTGACAACATCATTCTGCTGATCACGGGGACTCTGCACCAGCGTCCCATTGGGGAGCTCATCCCCAAGTGCCATCCCCTTGGAAGTTTTGACCAGATGGAAGCCATCCACATTGCATCCACACCGGCTGAGCTGTACAATGCGGTCATTGTCGACACCCCCCTTGGTTCGTTCTGCCAGTTTTGATTCTGCACCATAGATTTTCAAATGTTTCCCAGTACCCTAGCTGACTTTGCTCTCTTTTGCACGAAGAAAGTGCTAATAGTAGGGGCTTTTTGATGTTCCAAATACAGCACCATTCTTCGTGGACTGCATCTCGGAACAGGACTTGGACGAGATGAACATAGAAATCATCAGGAACACGCTTTACAAGGCCTACCTGGAGGCATTCTACAAGTTCTGCGAAAGCATTGGAGGAACTACTGCCGACGTCATGCTAGAGATTTTGGCCGTGAGGTTTTTTTCTTGAGTAGAAGCTCCTTGACACCATTCTGCATGTAGCTAAATGTTATTTAATGTCCTGCAGAAATATCTTATGTTCATGACAAGACATGATAAGCCATGTGGCTCAATGCCCAGCTTCCCATTGATGTTTACGGATTAAGCTGATTGGGAATTTTATTGAAAGTTTGTGAATTGTTTTGTGCTCAGCCTTGGGAGTAGCCTTTTCGCAAACTCCTTAACTATGAGTTGAGACTTCAGAGTACATGCGTTCATTTAATGCTTGTAATAATGAGTGTGCTGGCTGATAAAAATTAGGGATAGCATTGACCTGCAGGAGGAAAAATATTGATCTTAAAACTTGATTGTTAAACTCAATGGCGACTTCATGAATATCTTTGTGAAGACATTTTTGTCATTCCGTGGGTTCCCAGCTTTAATTAAACACTGCAGTGATGTCTACAGTCTGATAAATGCCAGCTGCAACAGGCATCGTAAAATTAAGCTTTGAGTGCTTGTTGGCGATCCTAAGGATGTAAGAGTTGGCTTATAGTACTTCTGTTAGTTGTCGCTAAATTTTCGTTTTTTGTTGTGGAGCAAGCCCCTTTCTTTCCCCGCATGCATGCACGCACACACACACGCACGCACACACGTGCACGCACACACAAATTTCACTTCAGTTGATTTCAATACAACGGCATGATAACCTGCACTTGTGTCGGTCCTGTTGTCTCTGTGGCCACTGGAAGGCTGTGCCTCCTCTTCAGAACTGCTTCTGCAGGTTGGTCTCATTATTTGATCTGCCAATCTCTTGGATGTTCCAGTTTGAAGCAGACAGGCGGGCCTTCATCATCACTATCAACTCGTTTGGAACGGAGCTAACAAAAGAAGACAGAGCCAAGCTTTTCCCAAAGTGTGGCCACCTCTACCCAGATGGGCTCAACGCACTCGCCAAAGCTGACGACTACGACCAAGTTCGAACAATTGCTGAGTACTACGCTGTGAGTTGGGCCAGTGGAGATGTCTTACTTCCAAGGACATTTCTGGTAATGTTTCTTCTCTCGCTTGTCCACAGCAATACAATGTGCTCTTTGGAGGAGCTGGAAACAACCCAGATGAGAAGACACTAGAGGACAAGTTCTTCGAGCATGAGGTAAGTTTGGCCTGTTGTAATTAGTGTCAAAAGTCTTAACCAGTGGCAAAGGATGTTGGGGCTTTCTCAAACGTTTTCCTCTTCCAAAATTGTATTACCCTTTGCTAGAGTATCGACCTGTCTTCCAAAGCCAGCGGTCTGTTGGCCGCCTCGGAAAACGTCAAAACACCAAAGCTTCTGATTCTCTGACCTTGTTTTGGGAGCTTGCTGGTAGCTCTGGAGGCTTGTGTGGCTGATTTTTATTTTGTTTCATCTTTCATAGAATTTCTTTTTAGAAAGAAAAATGTAACATTTTGCATAGAGCTGTGTTTGCAGCTGTGTTTTGCAGACGAAAATCTAGCACCCTAAGGCGAGAAAGATCAGACTTAGTAGCCAGAATCCTGAATTTGCATCCACGAGTGATGATCATGACGTCTGTGACGGCTTGTGCTGTCTGAAATGTTCAGAAAATGCACCATTTGCCAGATTGGTGCATTTCCTGCTCAGTTCGGGAGAGTGCAGCAACATGAGAGTGCATGCGATTAGAGCACGCAGCAGGAGAGTGCTCAACCAGTTTAGTGTGTGCATCACGAGAGCACTACTGGGGCCGATAGATGGTTTCTGGCATCACAATCAGTGTTTTATTTTCTTTTTTTTACTGCCAACAGCAGTTACATGCAGGATGAAATTGTATGACATGTTGGAAGATGGCTGAATCCATCTCAATGTGCAATTCTGTTTGGGACCATTTTGTATGTCATGATTGTGGCCAGGATTTTTTTTTTCTTCGCTTCCCCTTGTTTGTTTTGCGACAGGGTTAGTAGATTGGGCTGTTAATAGCCGAAGTGGGCTATTTGTTTACAATTGGCATCAAAATCTGGTGATAGCCATACTTTGGTTTACTTTTGGGGCATTTTCAAGTCGTTGCCTGGAGTCGGCAGCAAATACCCTCAAGTCAATTTTGTCTGGTAAAAACATAAGAGAATGTTTTATTTTGAATATACGAGATATCATTATATTTACAGTTTCTGAGAGCAGTCTGCCTTGTATAGTTGCAAATACCATCTTCAAAACTTTCCACGGCGTGCACATGTGCTAATGTGATTCGCGCTCTCGAGTTATACAGTCTGCTTAGTTCACAAGTGAAAGGATAAAAAAAAGTAAATTCCTGATTTTTTTTTTTTTTTTTTAATGGTTGAAAATGTTTTAGAATGATTCCCGATCCTGCTGACAAAGTTCTAGTCCAAACAAGTGATTCCTTGCCCCGCAATTGACCGATTGTATAGATAATGCTGTGCAAAATAGTGAGAGACGAGGGGTTTGTGCACTTGACATAGTAGTTGTCTTTCATAGTCATCTGCGTCGAACTGACCACCACATGTTCTCTCTCTCTTCCTTTTCCTCCTGGATTCTTTGTAGAAGGTCAGGTTTTTGTTCAGTGGTTTCTGCATGCCATATTTTGTTGAAAAATATTTGCTTGAAACTTGTAGAAAAGTTTGCGATGCAACATATTAAGCACCCTGGAAACCAAACACTGCCATTTTAAGTAAATTTTATAATTTGTCACTGATTTTCTGGCTCCCAGGAAACATAAAATCCCAACTAACATGGTACCCAAATCTGTAGATAATGGACCACCTCTGGTCTTCATCATTCATAGATGTATCACAATTCATCAGAATTTTAGTCCTGCCAAGTGAAATGTTACGGCTTAATTTTTATTGAAACCTGTTTTTGATGCAAGTGATGCTTCACTGCACCAGTGCCTTGTGGTGTGGTGAAGCCTTTCCAACTGAAGTTTGCGTTTATTTATATAGCTCTTCCATCAATTTAGAGAGACTAAAAGTGGGATTACCTTCCTTTGTTGTTCGTACTATGTTGGGCTTGATTCAAAGATGAGCTCACCAATACCATGTCTTGGCTTCTGCTCTTTGTGCAGATTTCATTTGGGTTTGAAATTGCAAGACCTGTTCTAACCTTATTTTACTCCTACCTGTGCAGGTGATGCTGAATGTGAATGCGTTCATGCAGCAGTTCCATTCCGGCGTTTTTTATGCCTACGTGAAGCTGAAGGAACAAGAGTGCCGCAACATTGTCTGGATTGCCGAATGCGTTGCTCAGCGTCATCGGTCCAAGATCGATAACTACATTCCAATCTTCTAGTCGCTCGAGGAAAAGAAATGGGCCAATTCGGTAGTTTGTCGGTGTAATATATATATATATATATATATCTACTTCGCAAAATTCTTCTGCTAGAGTGTCTATGTCTGGTTAGCTGCGATTGTGCAAGAGGGGAAAAAAATGTAGTCAGTGGCATGATCAAGGAAGAAAAAAAATTGGCCTATAACTTTTACCTTTTGAAGTTAAAGCAAGGGTTAAAATAATGTCTATTTTTACTTCGCTTTACCGTGTGCTGGCTATTGCTTTGCAAACGTTTTTTAAAATTTTTGCAGTTCGTCTTTCTTCTTTTGAGCACATATTTATTCCAGAGTTCCAATACCTTTTATGTGTGAATGAATGACTAATCCATGTTGTGGTTGTTTAATGTTGCATTGTTGAAAATAATAAACCCAAACTACAGCTGCCTTTGAAACTTTTTTTGGTGTCGCAATCAGCTTCACAACAGTACAACCTGGGTACATTTGATCTGCAAGCGAAGCCGAAGCTACGAGCGCAGGCCCGTTGTCCTGAACGATGCTTGTACCGTGTGCATGCTTGGTGGGGGTGCTGAAAGCCTGGAGCATGCCCTTGTAGCTCCTGCTGTGCTTGCACTAAACTGAAACGGAACATAGCATAGGATCATTAGAGAACAGCAGATAACATGCAGCAGAGGTGTCCGCAGCAACAGTTTTCACTCGTTCTGTTCTGTGCACAGGTAATCGCAAATTTTTTCACAACCACTAGACAATATATTAAGTGCCTTGAAAAGCAAACTATCGCTTTTACAAAGAATACCTTGAAACCGTAATTGGTGCAATTTCTTGCAAGGTTTTACATGTGTTTAATTGTAATATTAGTATTTTTTCACTGCAATCAATTGCTGACGGGGAACTGCCCTATTGCCATGGAGAGCTGTTGACCGCTCGTGGCAGTGCGCAGTATCGTCGGAAGTGTGTAAAATGATGGTTCACCGCACCCCGGCTCATGGTGAACCATCCTTGAAGACTGCAGTAGGGTGCAAGTCACGTCCAGTCTGTGGGGAGCTTTTCTGCGGAGAGTAGTAACGTACAGAGTGCATAAATGCAGAAATATTTTTGGTTTGCAATGTTGCTGCATGAAATGTCTGATGTAGAACTTTTTTATCACTATAAGAAAGATTTGAAGCTTTGACCAGAGCCCACTACCACTCTGCTTAGTGCTGTACAACTTTGGGTGTGAGCTGGTGCATGCACATGTATGTGAACAGAGGCAACCGGGTGCTCGAGCAGTAGAGTATGTAAACTTAAAACCTTGATGTATACACCAGCTCAACTCTCCAACGTCGCGCCACTATGGTGGCGCTGCTGTTCGCACTGTATGTGCACAGACGCTTCATCTCGCACGAATCTGGTTTTTGCGCACGTGCAGTGCCCACATCGGGTGTGGGAAAATGTGGGCTTGTTTGTATACAGTGTGTAGGTCTTTACAAGTTAATAGGAGCTTATAGTTTGCTCATGGAGTTCTCAATTCAGTGAGTTCAGAAGATACTCTGGAGTGTCTCCAAATATTCAGGCTTGCTCTAAAATAGGTACCTGCATACCTGCACATAGCGATCACAAATTTTCATGGAAGGTGCATTTTAGTGGTGAATATTATTTCGTGAAATTTTGAGGCTAGCTTGCTTCCTGTCACAAATCAGACAAGCAAACTTGCCACGGTCATTGGTAGACAACAACACGGACAACAGAGTTGGAGGGTTAGAGGGTTGTGGCATGTGGCACCATCTATTGATGAGCACAGCGAGCAGACGACCACATTGTTTCGACGCCAGCACCGGTTGCTATGGATACTGCCGCAGGGCGCCCGTTTCCATCGCTCGTGTCCCCTGCTGCTAAGGCTACTCTTTGAAATTTCACAAGGTAAAATCCACCACTGAAATAGACCTTTTTCGAAAGTCACGTGCCGAATATTAGAAGGTCGGAACCACTGCACCATGGCGAAGCAACTGCATCGAGGAACGTGCAAGTCATTCCATAAGAAAGCGAACGTAGGAGCGCGGCCATCACTACGAGCCGAGCCAATCGAACGGCGTCGAGAGTGCAACGTCACTGCGATCATCACCTTTTTTCTGTAGGTGTGTTTTTTCCAGTGTGTCGTAATGTTGAGGTTTTAGTCCGCCATTGTGGGGGAACCAACAGAAGGCAGTATTTCGAAAGGGGTCTATACATGTTTCGTGCAGATTTGAGATTGCTAGGCGTTGGCGTCGATTTTCTGTGCTTAGTTGCATTTCCGGAGGGAGAAAGAGTGCGTGCAGAGCTCTACATAGCTTTCATGGACGCCATTGACGGGACTTGTAGGATATGTTGCCGCCATCGCCAGGTACTGTCATAGTTTCGGCTTTACACCTCCGCCGGCAATGCCGGCCGCTGCCGCATCGTTTTCCGTGCACATTTCTTTCTTTAGTGTTGTGTGAACTTGCGGTCAGTGGTGCAGTAATGCCATGTTCAGTAACCGCAGCAGAAGCGAGTCCTCCGAAAAAAAGGTCAGTGACAGAACGCCAAATATAAGGCTGTATTTTTTTCCCAAAAATGATAGCCAAGAGTTTGAGCATACAAAACTTCTGTCCGAGAAACACTGGAGCTTCTCGCTTGCTTGCATACGCCGGAAAGATTTGAAGAACCTCGACAGTGACCTTGTCTGTGGTCGTCGTTTCATTGTCGGTGAAGAATGCACGTGTCATTCGTAATACATGGATTGTTGAAAGTCGAAACCTTATCGCACAAAAGACAGTCTGGCAGACGTTAGTCACCGCGATATCCGTGGCACAAATGCCGTGCAAGTTTCTCCTTGAACTTAATTATTGCCATGCGGCATTCGAAGCATGGATCTTGTGGTGACTTGTGTTCGAACCTGTTTGCAGTCTGTCTTTTGTATGATGTATAAGCAGACCCAGGCTTTGCATTCATACTCTGTGCGCCTTGCCACAGCGGCTAAGGATAGCTTTACAGTACCTGGTAGCGTCACACTGCTGCTCCTGTTAGATTACGGACACTCAGCCGCTGCTGCGTTTACCTTTATAACTGAGCTTCCTCTCTGTGGTGCTTGTAGCCCACTACTGTTGATAGTGTTTCGGCGGCGGTGCAAGTTTGTACAGCCGAGATCACTGTGGCCTAGATGCTGCAATAAGTGCCTCGAGTACAGGCACGTCTTTTAATGGGCGAACCTATGACTCTCATGGACGATACAAACCCCAACTGAGTGCCCACCCGGCTTCTGGGCTACAAACGCGGTGAACAACCTCCGCCCTTTACAAGATTTGCTGGTTTGCAAGGGGCGTTTCATGAATCTTTTTTTTAGTTAAAATGTTCAGTATAGTGAAGCTGTATTTCGGATGGAAATTTTGTGCTGTAGTCATGCACGTGGATGCTGTAACATAGGCACGATGCGTACGCCGTAGCGACGTCGTAATCGAGGAGCGCCCGAGCGACGGCACCTTTTGCGTCTGCTTCTCAGTACCTGGTAATGGCGGCCGGCGGGCGGGAATATGGGAAGTGATGTCACGTGAAAACTATGTCTAAGCGGCGTTCATGCACGCGCTCCCATACCTTTAATTGCATAGCCACAGAAAGTGCATTATCGACTTCTGAGCGGCTATTTATGTGAATGCATCGAAGAACGAAACACGAAGCGCTAAATGTTAGCTAAAGTTTTGTTGGTTTCGGTTCAGAATTTTTTTCGCGCATAGTTAAAGCCAAGCTGGCCAAGCCAAAGCCACCACTATCCGGCTTCGTGCGTGGTTTTGAAGTTTACGAACTAGCGAAGTCTGAGATTAAATGAGTATGGAGAGGGATTCAAAAATAGGAAATTTGCTATGCAGTTCGGCGGAGATCGCCGAACTCATATTATGTGGTATGAACAGCCGTCAGTTGAGCAGTTGCGCAAAAGTTTGCTCCCTTTGGAGTTCGATTGCCAAGCGTCTGAAGCGTCAACGAAGGATGTTTCTCCACACTTTCCAGGTAAAGTGTTTGGGTTTTCTTGTTTATTATTTGTTTTTTTTCGCAAATTTTTTTCACCGTTAGTCACGTCTATGCTCAATCGATCGTTGATGTTTTAATTGTGAGACATGCAGGCAGCAAATGCAGTCTGAACTGAAAACACTTCTGCTTAAAAATGCGATAACTTCGGATGCCGCCAATGAATAGATCGAGCTAACGGCTTGCCACATTATTATAGTAAGTTTACTGTCTGGAACGATGCTTTTAATTGCCTTTCCTTTCGTAGTGCGATATTGGGCTCCGGGAACATGACTGGGGTCGCCTACCATTTTCAAATGTCGATGAACTTTCAGTACACATTTTGTTACCATTGACCCTCTTTAATTTCTTGACCGCAGGCACTGAGTGTTTAAAGATCGGTAGTCTCAAGAAATTTAATTGCATTCCAGTAAAAATTAAAAAAAAAAAAAAATTGGTCTGCCTATGTATACTTACCGCGCGAACCACTTAACGGTCGTCTCACCGTAGTTGACATCATCCCTTTGTCTGAAGGTTTCTCAATACGACATCATAGCATGGCCATATTGATGCTGGTTTCTGTACTGTTTTTATGCAGAAGCAGAACTTTTGCAAGAATGTAAGTTACAACCCTAATGGGCCTCCAGCACACCCTCTCTCCCCGTCTCTGGAAACATTGTTTATTTACATAAAAGGGGATACACTTCGGTTTTTTTGACTAGAGTCATCTGGGCCAGAGGGGAACACGGTGAAGAGGTAAGTGGAATAGGCAAAGAGATTGATGACTATACTCCGTTTACCCCTAGGCTGAGACTGCGGTGGAAGCTATGTCCTCGGACCAGTCGTAAGCCTTTCTTTCGCCACATGATAACACCTTTGCCCATACCCACATTTTAGGCTCCAAGATAGGCTTTCAAACAGCTTATAATATGCGTGGTTGCCCCTCGCTTCCCTTTGCTCCGCTCGAGGAAAATGAATTATGATCTCGGGTCCGAGCTTGCACCAAGCCTCGTCGGAACCGCCAAGGGTTTGCCAGGCGATCGCTTCCTGCTGTCGCCGTTGACCCCCATGCCGGTGCGTCCAGCTTTGGCTAGCGTTGACACATCAACTTTAGCAGACAGTATTCGGAAAATGGCGTCAGCTGTTGCTGGCTTGAGACTCTGCATTCGCGTAAGTGTTTATCCAGGAGACGCTTCGTTGCCCTAGTAAAGGTGAGCATAGCAGACGGATTTTGTTGTGTGGAAGGAAATGGTGGTGCGGCGAGGTCAGGTGCATGCTGGGGCCCTCTCGCCGTGCTCTTTAAAGGGCTAGACATGAACAAACAGAGTTGCAAATAAGGATTTAATGCAGATGGCTGATTTTTTTATTTTGATGAGCCTTATGTGAAAAGTATGTTTTTGGCTCAGAATATTGAGTCATTTCTTTTACGGCAACATGGGGCTAAACTATACCAATTGTACCCTGGTGCCTCCATGAGACTGGTGGCACCATGGGGCAGTGGGTTGCTTACTGCCCAAGAGTGCAAAAACGTAACGGGAGACGGTGGTGTTATGCAAAAAGTGGCAGCGCCGCCTGGTTATTGCTGGGCACATGCATATATGCGCATGTTTTCCAAAATATGCAAAAACACTACTGCTACCACACCTCAGCAAAACTCACCCATGAGTGCACTCACTCGCCTCACCCACACTCACCAATCAGGCGTGAGGTGAGGGTGATTGAGTTCGTAAGCCTCGAAAATTTGTGAGTTTGAGGTTGAGTGAGGGGCATGAGTTTGGTGAGGGGCGTGAGTTCATGAGGTCAATGAGTTCATGAGTTCGGTGAGGCATGAGGTCCCGAATGGACATGGGTTGGATGATGGTTTGCAAGGTGACGTCGAGCAAGGGTGGGCTATGTGACTTCTCCCTGCAATTCAGGGAAGTTGAGTTGACTCTCGCTTTGCAGTGGCACTGTTAGCTCGTACGGCTGGTTCTCTAAGAGTGATGGGAAAGAAAAAAAGAGCTCCGATGGATTTATTTCTTGCTCTTTTACTCCGGCTTGCTTCGCGACAGCTTGGCGTGGTCTTTTGCCGCTGGTCACTGCTTTGTGGCGGAGTGACAGGAGAAGGGGCAGGGCTCTCCCGCTCGCCTTGGCCGCTGCCGTGTAAACTGCAAGGCACCGATATGCGAGCGGAGTTTTGTTGTTTTGCGAGGGAGGAAAATGGGTTCTACGCCTGTACGCCTGAAGGCAAAAGTTGCTATTTCGAGTGTGCTTGTCTTAGGCACAGTTGCTAATCCCGAAGCCAATATTAAAATGAAAGCCAGTTGGGAACTGTCACGATTTGCCTGTACACTTGTTTGTTCAATTTGTAGACTGGAGTTCTGATGCACATCTTCATGTTTGAGTATGCCCAAAACGCCGGACTGCTACATTTATTTGGTAGCATGAAAGTTAATTCGATTGTTGATTGTCATGAAATAATATCAGACGATAAATTTCTAGATTACATTTGAAGAGATATGAAACAAACTTTTTACTTCCGCTTAACATTGGTGATAACAAATTCTTGACGTTCCTAACCCGCTAGCCGAAACCCTCTAGTTGTTCAAGAGGGTGCCATTGAGGATACTAGGAATACTGGCTGCACCCATAAATGATTTGCGTGCCAGAGAATGGGTTTGTTTACTAGCTCCAATTGTGTTTAGCTATTAGTTATGCTTCCTCTATATTATTATATGTCTTATGTCTGTATTATTGCATACTATATATATTTTTTTTTTTTCTGTTGCATATATATATTATATATGCTAGTATTCCTTCTTTACAATTTTATAATGTGTGTGTGTATCCATTATCTTCTGTGTGTATGTGCATTCATATTCATTATATCTTGTATCCATTAGCCGTATTTTTGCTAGTTTTGTGCTGAACGAAGTTTATCCTTAGTGCTGTTGCTGTTAAACTTTGCCCCCCCCCCCCCGTTGGACCTTGGTGCCCATTCAGGCGACACGATCGCCTTTTGCGCCAAGGTACCATTTCAAGGAGTATGTACCTTTAGAAAGAAAAAGTAAACTGATTGATTTATTGAACCGGTACAGCTCACGCCGGTGCACGTCCCAGTTATTTACGAGGCTCACTTTTTTTCTTTTTGGCAACAACATATTTATACGTGTTGTAACGGGGAGGGGGTAAATGAAAAAAATATTCTACATGCGTGCATGCACGGAAGCAACAGAAAATCAAACGCACAATAAAAAAAATTAGTATGCAATAATATACCGTAGAATACTGGGCAAGCGCCCACTCAACCTTTGGAGATACTTGCAAAAAAAATGGCGGATGGGCTCTTGTCTGGTCATCAATTTTACGTATAAATGTACTGTGCATATTTTCTCAGATATCACAAATTCGGTAATGGGCTGTGCGGTATTCTACGGTAGTATGCAAAGAAGCAATAAAAAATTAGTGTGCAATAATATGGTACACATGAAGTTCTTCAATCGTTCATTCTTCCAGAAAAAAATATCCGCCAGGCAGTTATTTTAGGTGAAATAATTTGTGTGACCGACGATAAATATAAAGACAGACTGTTTCGGAATAGTTCTGCTCGACAACGAATTGCCGAGCACACCGTTCGACCATTGAGGAGAAGTTTGCAATATTCTATGCAGAAACAAAATACACCCCACGGTGGTACATGTTTGAATAATAATAATTCACAGCTCAATAAACAACGGTGCAGACACTTACTCCGTACTTGCATGAAGTTGTTGCGAATGCTTAAACCAAATGGTGCACACTGTAAAGAATACTTCTTCACGAGACTCGCGATGATGCGCCCTTGTATCCCAACAAAGCGTGCCTTCCTCAAGCGGTTGGCAGGCGCGTCGGCTGGCGCGCGAAAGAAGTTGAAGCGAAACAAACAAAAAGACAAAACATTTCTTTACTTGGCGACGTGACGGCTGGCGCCGGAGTAGCGGAAGAATGCAGTACCGTGGCGGGGTTGTAAAAGCCAGGCAACCCGTGCGCAACACGAGCGCAGCGACTACGGTGAGGGTTGGAACTGCTTCTGAGTGACTGAGTTCAGGAGTTTGATGAGGGGCGCGAGTTTGCGAGTTGGTGAGGGGCGTGGGTTCATGAGTTCGGTGAGGGGCAAAGCTGACGGTGTGGTTGGAGCTAGGTATGTGCTCGCCAGACCGATCACCCATCTTCTTTTCATCAGCTGACCCCGCTGCACGTGGGTATGGGCGGAAGCGTGTTCAGGCGGCCAAAGGTAGACATATGAGTGGTCCAACGAGCATATAGCTTTCAACACAGTGTCAGCTTAGGGATGATGAAAGTATAGAATACTGTAACTACACTGAGCCTGGTCTCAATCTGTTGTAAAAGAAGGGAACTCAAACCTGTTTGCAAAGCAGCAGACCATTGAAACAGCTTGATTGAAAAATGCTGCTGGTTTGAGGTGTTTGATTTCTCGGTGATTCCTTGGTGGTACAACTCCTCAATGGGTCAAGTTCTGTGAAAGCTGTTGCTGACTCTGAGGATTCCGGTGGGTGCAGGTCCTAGAGGACAAGTCTTGTGGACTTCGCGACAGCAAGACTGGCAGTGACGTTTCGGAAGACACCGCAAACCTGTTCCTCAACCGGCTGAGGGACTCGTGGTCCGAGCCTGGCAATGCACTGGTGTTCGCTACGAGCAGAGCAAATCGCTACATCAACGACACGACAGGCACCTTTGGAACATACCTGCCTTACAGTCCTGCAGGTGTATATGGGCTCCTTTCTCTGGCTTTATATTACAGTCTTGTCGAACTGTTTTTTTGTTTAAAATTTCTGAACATAAATTAAAACAACTTTTGCTATTTATTCAAAATGAGTGAGATCTATTCATCTCATCGTGTAGTGTGTGGGTGGAGTGTCTGGTTTACAATTTCAGATGCGGCGCTACATAGGTGTTCTACTCTATGAAAATGATTGTTTTTGAGTAAAAGATATTGAGGAAACAAGTGCAGTTTCTATCCTTTTAACGAGGATTATTTTGGTTACTAGAGCAAAATATAACTGCCTACTTTCATCGTAGGGAAAGTACCGAAAAACACGCATATATATTTTAAATATTATTTGTTAGTCTCGATCCGAAATAAAATGGTTTTAGTGAATAGCTTTACTGGTAACTGATACTTTGAAAACCGGAACACCAAAAGAACTAAACGAATCCGATTTCATAGTTACTACGTGAGATCAGACGTCTGACCTCACCCTCGCGGTGGTTACGACCAAGACTGATGGCAACTGTTAACATTCGTTTAGTCTACTGACGGCTAGGTCTTGGTTAGCTCAGTTGGATGAGCCCTCTGCTAGTTTGGAGAGGTCCCAAGGTCAAATCCCAGACCAGACGGATTTCTTTCAGCGGCCGCCAGTCGCCTAAAAGGCACGAGTTTCTCTCCATTCCAGCTGGAAATCAATTTATTCTTGGATTCAGCTCTAGTCTTGCATGGTTCAAGTCCTGTTTAATTTAGGAATGTATGCCTGTAGTTGTTAACCTGTGGCCCTGCTCTCGAAGTGATGGACCGCATCAGCTCCTGCCTGCCCAAGTCCTGCCTCCTGCTCTTGGGCGGTGCCCGAGGCGTGGTGGGGTCTCCCTGCGAGGGGCCGGAGCGGGATGCCTACAAGTACGGGGACCCCGTGGAACTGGAGCACACCCAGGCCTTCTCGTGCCTGCTGTTGCCGGCCCATCCGCCGGACGGGGTGTGCATCCGGCCCTTCCTGGTGACAGAGGACCACGTCCGGAAGGGCAAGCGGGGCGAGGACTGGTATTCGAGCATGGCGTTCAAGAGCCTCGTGGGGCTTCCCATGGGCGAAGAGGCGCGGAACACCAAGTGCATCCTCATGTTCACCATCGACGAGCTGGACAACATCAAGAGTGACTTGTCCGACATGGTGAACGGCTTCGTGGACAGCTGCGGGGCTTGCAGCTTCACTCTTGGGGGCGCTGTCCTGAACCGGCTGCTCGCCAAGGGCAGGAGCCCCATCAAGGGCCGCGTCATCTGCACAGGCTTCTGCTTCTCGGGGGATGCGGTGCGGTCGGCCTCGGCGCTGCTTGTCCAAGGGACCTGCGGCGCCGAGGCCGTTGAGCGGGAACTGAGCCGGCTGAGGAGGGACAGCGGGTTTGAGGGCTGGAAGCGTGGGTCCACCGTGGCCTTTATGTTTGCCTCCGTCAAGAGGGGTAGCTGGCTCCACCACAGGCCCAACGTGGAGGCGGACGCATTTGCGCGGGTTTTCCCGGGGGTGCCGCTTGTGGGGCTCTTTGACAGCTGGCAGATTGGCAATGAGTATGTGCCTCATCTGTCTGGCAAGCAGCCAGGTAAGGGCAAGAGGAAGGCCCCTGTTTCTTACTTGCACGAGCGTGCTACCATCATTGTCCTGCTCTCGTTAGGGAGCAGCGAATTCGTTGGACGCTGCCCCTGATCCAAAGGGCCCCTTGGGTGGGTTCAGTTTTACTACGGTTCCAAGATTAAAGATGACCGGTTGCCACTACAGTCATTTTCATGGATGGTGGACAATTACATGATCCGATTGAATGAGTGTTGATGCAAATGAGAGTTAGTTGTACAAAAGATTCATGCTCCTTATACTATCCTCACTGCTGCTGCTTGTTTTAAATGCAGTGCAGAAGGGAACTAAATTTTATGAAGTCCTTATTGCCTATTGCCAGGGCTTCAGATCCATATAGCCCCAAGAATCAACTGACACCATATTTTAATGTTACAGAGGATAAAATGTGTTTATTTTATTTTAGAAATTTTTTAATATGTGCTTATACTTTTTGGTGACTACCTTAAAATACCGTGCAAGTGCCCCCTCCAAATTTAGAGATTATTCAATACAAATAGGGAGGGGTCCCTTACTCGGTCCAAAAATAACATTCAAGATGGCGGCCACCAAAATATTAAATTTTTATCAAACCGAAGGGGGCGCTTACACAAGGGGGTGCACATGCTCGGTATTTTACGGCACTTGTATTTATTTACTGATCAAAGAAAGTTATTTATTGGAAGTGAATTTGAGGACTGACTTGAAGTGATTACATAAATGTGGGACTGCACTATTTAGGCATTTCTCCAGAAGACTATCGTATGATGGACATCCTTCTCAAACATTTTGCCTGTAGTGTATCATATTCAATAAAACAATCATATCTCATTCTTTGAACAAAGCATACAGCAGCAGTCCTGACAGTTAATATATATATATATATATTTTTATACACTTCTTGAATAAGTTTGTGTGGAGCAAATGCCACGGTGTTTGTGTGAAGCTTAAAGAGCACTCTTTGGATTTGGCTGGAGGACTTTCATTACAGAAGCCAAAAGTCGTCCTTGAAACTTGCATTTTTATTCTTGTTCATTTATGCAATTTATGCATATACTACTTAGGAAACAATAACATAGAAATAAACTTGCTCTAGTGTATTTAAATTCACATTGAGACTCGTCCTACTTAAGATTTCTTTTAAAGGACACATGCAAAGGAAAAAAGCATTTTTTTTAAACGACTTAGATGGAAAAAGGACGCCATAAAACGATTTTACAACGAAGAAAAAAAATTTTTAGAGCTATATTTACGGCGCAAAACGAATTTGTAGTTGGCGCCCGCGGGCACCGCGGAAAAGTGGTCTGTATTTATCACGTGACTGGTCTTTATTTATCACGTGGTGCTTGCGCTCTTTCGGAAGCTTCCTATGGCCTCTAAAAGTAGCTTATTCATCTTTGTTTGAAGTATAACAAAAAACCAAGACGAATAAGTAACTTTTAGAGCCCAAAGGAAACTCCTGAAAAAGCGCAAGCAGACGTGATAGACCTGTGCGCCGGTCAGACGACGGCGGCGGCGCCCCGAAGCAGACGAACTTGTGCGGCGGCGGCGACGGCGGCTTGGAGAAACGCGTTGAAGCGGCGTTCGCACAACGCTCAGCGTGCGGCGGCGACGCAGCGCGGCGGCGCGCGGGCCTACCACGTGACCAGCAGCGGCTCCCGCGAGCGCCAACTACAAATTCGTATAGCGCCGTAAATATAGCTCTAAAAATTTTGTTTCTTCGTTGTAAAATCGTTTTATGACATCCTTTTTCCATCTAAGCTGTCTAAAAAAATTGTTTTTTTCCTTTGCATGTGTCCTTTAATATCCGAGCACAGGACCAGACTACAGTGTTCTAGAAGGGGGAGTAGAAGCAAGGGCGAGGGCCATGGGAGGCGCTGTGTGGAAAAAAAAGCAAATAGCTGCAATGTGGCACTGCAGTCAACAATGAGGAAAAAATGGCTACAGCGGTTGATTCTTCTCGGGTTAGCAGCCATTCAGTGGTGTAGCCATGGGGGAGGCTCGTGAAATCCCCCCCCCCCCCCCCACCAAAAAAAAACAACAAAAAAACGCATCAGACCCTACAATATACACCTGCATTTTACACCCCCCCCCCCCCCCCCCCCTCACAAAAAATATTCCTGCTTACGTTACTGCAGCCATTGGGTGCTTGGCGGATGCCGCTTGTCCAAACGATTTGATGTGCTGTTTGGGTCCAAAGCACTGCTGAAGTGATGGAATTTTTTTACCACTAGGCTGCATTTCTTTTTAAAAAGAAACTCCACTTCATTTTTGTATTTAAAAAAAACACCAAAAATCAAGTTCTTTTCAGTATCACCTGGGAAGATCACATGTTAAATGTAATGGCCTATTTCTGTCTAAATGCTTAAACAGTCCAGCAAAGTTTGGAATGCACCAAGTTGCCAAAATTGGGCGACTCTAGCAGGCGAATTGAGGCGCAGTCAACAGCAAAGTCAAGGCTATGGTGTTGGTGCAGCCAATATTGAGCTCAACGTCATCAACATTGCTACTTTTTGTTCGTTTTTGCTTCTTCAGGCAAGCGTAACAGGCGACGTCGGCAATGTCCCCTCTCGGCATTGGCCAGTTGCGTTGATTTAGCAGTGTCCATGTGATTGGCGCAACGGGCCTGCACAGAGGGCCTGCACAGAGGGCCCGTTGCCCTCAAAGAGGGCAATGGGCCTCCTCTTTCCCCCCCCCCCCCCTCCCCCCCGTTTTTCCTCTTCCGACGCCACTTGTATGTTAGAATGCTCCTCGACCTCGAGTTGTGTCGGCTTCTGTGCTTTTTGCGAGGCGACTCCTCCGTCCCAGAAAATAAACCTCCAGGACAACTATAAACTTAACTTACTATAGGCCAGCGTTACTCGGGCGGCGTTCGATCGGGTTACTACCAGCGTGCAAGGGGTAGGGAGGTAGTTTGCCAGGTCGCTTCAAGGTTTTTCTGAGCCTCAACCTCCTGCTCGCCCCTGGCCGTTTCGAACTGGATGAGTATCGTAAAACAGTGTGTTCGATTGATCACTACTGCGTGATGCAGGTTAAAGACCAACCCCCCCCCCCCCCCCCCTTCCCCCCCCCCCCCGGGCTGGCGGTCGCAATTATTGATCTATGGTCACACGTCACTCTGCACTGGCAAATATTTCAGCACATCCGGGACACTCGTCGTCTCATTTAATTGCCTGACCAACTTCGCAGTCTAGATATCACACCCTAACTTTTCTAAACGTGATTTCGTGAAAACCAGTGAGTCGTGAAAACGTTATTTGAAACTGAGACTGGTGGAGGAACTTGAAAACCGGACTTCGAATTTTGAAAACTTGGACTTGAAAGGAATTCAAAATCTTCGAAGTTTGTTTTCATATTTAGCGTTAAAAAAAAATTGAAACCTTCAAACTTTTCTAACTTTATGCAGAAAGAAATTTGAAATCTTTGAATTGTTCGAACTTCATGTCTATAAAAATTCAAAGCATTTGAAGTTTTCAAATTTTATTTTCAAAGAATTTTGAAATCTTCAAATTTTTCGAACTTGAGATCCCAAGAAATTCAAATTTTTTGAATATCTCGAATTTCAAGTTAGGAAAGGTCAAAATATTCGAATTTATCGAACCTCAAGTAAAAAAATATTCAAACCCGAAATTTTGGAAACCGTGAAAGCTTCGAACTTTTCGGATTCGAAACCCCACTATGATCGAAAGTTGTGAATTTTTCGAATTCGAACCTCAGTCGGTACGGAAATATTAAAATTTTTCGAAATCGAACCTCGGTTCGCTTCGCAAATATCAAAACCTTTCGAAATCGAACCTAGGGTGGTTCGCGACATCCCTAATGAGAAATATAAAAAACCGCATTCACATGAGCCAGTGCTGACGTCGACGGGCCCAGAAGATGTTCACCGCATGCAGAAATGCATGAGTCGAGTGCATATGCACCTAACCTTGCGACGACAAGCGAAAGGCTGCAAGCTTCCTCAGTTTTTTTTTTTTTTTTTTCCCAAGTCGGAAGAAAATTAAGCTTTTTTTTCTTTCGGAATTTTTTCAGTTTTGATAACTGCAAAACTTTGAGTCAAATTTTTTGAGTGGAAACTGTTTTATATATGCGGTGTTACATTGCTTTACGATTGTAATTATAATTTACTTTCAGTTATACTTTATATTGTATTTATGGCAGAAGAGAGCCACCAACAGAAACTGCACGCACATCTTTCAAGTTATCTCCTCCCTTGTATAGTTGTCAGAGGAGCTTCAAACGCGCAATGAAGTCGATTTCGGTTCGAGATGAAGGAAGCGGGTCGTTATTTTCTTTAAACGGAGTTCCGAAGCGATTAGATAAATTGGTGTCGCTAGAACGGCATCGCTAATCCATCGTTTTCTCAAATGAACATCACCATTCGCTAAAGTGTCGTTCGATGAAACATTATGGTCGGTGCTTCGTTCGCTAAAACATTGTTCGATCAAGTCAGTGCCTCCCAGGTCGTACCCAACTCAACGTTAATCACGGCACATGGTAGTGTGTTAATACTTCAAGATTTATAGTTTCTACCATTTTGACGAAGTGAATGGAAAAGTACCTGTAAAAGTAAGTTCACTTAGTTACAAGTTACTGGAAAATGTACCTGAGATACAGATACTGAGAAATTAAAGTACCTAGATTTGTACCTCAGATGCAACAAAAGTACCTAGATTCCGATTTCCAGTTACTTCAACCCAGGTACTTTACAACCCTGGTTACAACCGCTTGTAATCACTTACGAAGAGAGAGCAGACAGGCGCCATCCATATGGTACTCCTGGACTGCTCCCGAACTGCATATATTTCCCAATTTTTTTTATGTGTCGTTGTCTTACCATGGGCTTGAAATGATTACTACAATCTTTATAAGCAACCATTTTTCATAGATAGTGCGTAGGTCTCAACTAGCGAAATAATGCAAAACCTTCACATGCAAACCATGGCCGCCATGGCCTCCGAGATGTTTTGTGTGCTGGCTGCACTCCTCAGGCTGTTGCATTCGCCGGTAGAGACTGTAAGCGGGGGGGGGGGGGGGGGGGGGAGGGGGGGTCACTGGCACGGGGGCGCTCGGTGGCACTCACAATTGAACCTAACAATACAATGAAATAGCCGCAAATTATCATAATTACCATTATTGTCGGTCTATAGAACTTAGGAGCAGCGCAAAATGTGCTCCCCACCTCTCGCCGCAACATGCAGACCTTTGGTAAGGAAGAAGTTTATCGAAATTTGAAGGTTTATCTTTTCAAAGCACGAAAGGTGTAGAACAAATTTAAAGTTCAGAAAACAACAATATTTCCATGCCTGTCCCGCTGGCTCAGACAGTATCCACAGAGGACAAATATACTGGGTGTTTCAAAGAGCGGCCAGGCTCTTTAAATCGACCGCAAAATTCGGTTTCTTAACCTATCGCTCTACCACTTTGTACAGCGTTGCCCACAGGTGGTGCATTTGTTTTGTAAAATTTGCAAAGAGCAAACTTACAATAAGAAAAAGTAAAGAAAGAAAAAGGCTTAGCTCTTATGGAAACAGCGAAGCCAGTGGTCTTCAAACCGTTTTGCCGTTTTGCTGGGGAGACAAGAGATGGTGCAAGTGGTCGCGACGCCAACTGCACCAACGAACGAGCATACGGCGCCGAGAGCCGGCGTCTTTAGCAGACGATCGTTTCGACTCAAAAGCGGCGCACGTTCCGCAAGCGGCAACGTTCGCAGAGCCAAAAACAGGGGCGGTATCAACATAAGAGACTGCAAAGCAGACAACATAAGTACCCTGTGAAAAAAGAACAGTCAAAATAACCTGACAAACCATTTTCTTAATCAATTATGTCTCAATTCAATG